ATAAATGTCCATACACTCCTGTATCAGTATCAATTTGGTACTGTGGGCTAAATCATGTTTAGTGTACTGTTATGATACTGATTATTACGTAGTTTTAAAACAATTTTCAACTCCAGAAATAAAGTTGGAACTAAAAATTGCAAACCGGTACCAGTATCACATTTGACAAATTTCCATACACTTAAAGTAGCTAAGTCTCTAACTCAATATCATCAAAAATCTTCGACATTAAAAACACAAATTATTTGTCAATTCAAATCAACATTGGTCTTGTGATCTTACAGGGAAAAGATGGGCTTCTGATATCAAATATTCAAGACAAAATAAACATTTTACCATTGGTACACGAATCGTGTACCATAATGCGTTTCAGTGCCATTTGGAACAAGGGACTCAAAGAACGAGGCTAGACATATTCCACAAATCATGTCAAATGGTGACGCTTTATTCTTATCTGGAGAGCATGCGCAATAAATACCATCGGTGTAGACTGAAATAACCAGACGCTAAAGATTGTCATTTAATTGAGACTTTGCCGCATTTCGCCGAACCTAACTGATTAGAAATTACAGTAAAAACAGAAACAATTGAATGTAAATCAGTTTATATACATTGATATTACATTATTATATGTGTTGCGACCCATTTGTGTCAATTTTTATGTCCCAAATATTAGCGATTTAGCTCCTTTAACATGTGATCATAATTCTTCTCTGTTCCGCACTTAAGTCTACTAATGGCAGACCAATTCAACGCATTATTGGATCATAGTGTTGGATTATTATAAATTTGTATCAAATGTGGCAAGAAATGATTCCTTTTGGCGAACAAAAAAGAATTACGATGCCGGCAAACAAAAGAAGGTAGTGAATGTAGACATATTGTACCTGTGAGGCAACTACTAAGGACTCCAAGATAACTTTACATACAAGTTTATATAGGTCTAAGGATGGACAGGAACGGTCTTTGTCCACCCAAAAGCTCTAAGATAGCTTTACATGTACAAGTTTATATAGGCCTAAGGATGGACAGGAACAGTCAGAGGTCTTTGTCCATCCAAAAGGAACTACATTTGGATTAGCAATGAGAACATGCCTAAAAACGTTGAGATATAGGCCTAATCAGAAGTAGACTGATCATGTGCTTGTTTTTAACTATGATTGGATCAGATGCCTTTAAAGGACCTAAGTCCGTAACTCAAAATCCTCCAAAATCTTCGACATCGAAAACACAAATTATTGGTCAATTTAAATCAACATTGATGATGTAAACTTACCGGGAAAAGATGAGCTTCTGATATCCGATATTTAAGATAAAATAATTTTTTTAACATTGGTACACGAATCGCGTACCATAATGCGCTTCAGCCCCAGTTGTATTGAGGGACGAGGCTAGACACAATGCACCAAATCAAATGGAGTTATGTAGACTAGAATAACTGGACGCTAGAAATTTGCACTCGATTGAGATTGCTGACTTATTTCGTCGAACATAACTGATTTGAAATTGGAGTAAAAACGGAAACCATTAAATGTAAATCAGTTTATATACATTCATATTACAGTATTATATGCGTTGCGACCCACTTTTGTGAATTTCTAGGTCCCAAATGTTAGCGATTTAGCTCCTTTAATAGTTTCACCTGGCAAACTGAATTTCTTTTAATGCACAAGTTAATTTTATACTATACTCAGCCCAATCTAGTGAAACAACTTTCATTTATCTCTTAATATTGTCAGTAAAGTGAATCGATACGGATAAATAATTGCAGTGCATTAGTCATGCGCGAATACGTATAGGAGCTTTTACGCGTGACGTACTTCCGGTGTCTATTTTAAGCCTGGCCTTTTTCTTCACGTATCTTAACATGGTAAATGCTAAGGAAAACGCGTTTTTTAGTCTTTTTCTTTTAATAGAAAACATATTCTTGAATGCCACTCTTGTTGTAAGATGCGTGTAGCATTTGTAATAAATTACTGATTTTACATCATGTCTAAATTATTTTTTTTCGTTTTAGTGACGATATACCACGTTGCAGCAGACGATATATGCCAAGCTCACACACAGTCCAGTTTACCGCTGTATGCAAAAGCATAAACAAAGATGCATTGGTGTATGAAGCCGATTTATTTTGTGTTAATTTTAATGCAAACAATTAATAGACAACGTCTTTTAGGTTGTAAAATGCCACGAAATAGAGCATAAGACTAGTAATTTATAGAATGGGCTAGAGTGGTGACCTGCGATTCCACGAAAGAATTATCTAAGACGATATTAAAATTTAAGCACAACCGTAGCACATCTAAAAAAAAAAAAGAACAATTAATAATCATGCTGTAAAAAATAATTCTGTATAGAATAGACCGAGTCCAGTTATATATTTGCATTTAACAATTGTTCTCTGAACCAAATACTGAATTAGAAATTGATAAAATGGACACAAATGTATCGTTCTTCATTTTTGGTTGTGACAGTGGAGATAAACTGACTGACAAAAGGTGAGCCAAGATGATTTATGTATACTCAGCCAAATTAAAAACTTGACACTCAGGATTTTTGGGACTAGATTTTTAATATTTAGTTTAATCAACTATTTTAGTGTTATGTTGTGCACAGACGACCTTGACATCAACAGAAAGCAAGAATACGTCTCGCCGAAAGTCCTTGACATTGGTAACGTTCGTGATGTCACAGTACCCCCCAAAATGAAATTCACAGACTTGGAGAACAATCGGAATAAAGTGTTTAGTAACGGTTGTGGCCTCCTTTAGCGTCTCGTACTGCCACACAACGTCTTCTCATAGATCTCAGAACATTAGAAAACACTACCCGAGGAAGACGTCGCCACTGCTCAGCAAGAGCATGTTGAAGGTCCTGCAACGTCAGTGGTGGATTCACTTGCTGAGGAATACGTCGACCCAGTTCGTCCCAGATGTGTTCCAATAGGATTAAGGTCGGGGCTTAGCGACGGCCAATCCAGGACTTGGACACCAGCATTTCTTAAAAAATTCTGGGTAGCAATTGCTGTATGGCGTCAAGCATAGTCTTGTTGAAACGTTAGTCCAGCCCCATGTCTGCATAAACGGAAGAAGAACAGGTTGCAAAATCTGATCCCTGTACTGGAGAGCATTTAAGTTCCCTTGGACAACAACAAGAGGAGAACGTCCACGTGCACAAAAAGAACCCCAAACCATGACGCTGTCGCCACCAACATAACGTTCACCTCGTCTGCGGTACACTCGGACCCTGCCATCGGCAAATCTCAAAGTGAATCGAGATTCGTCACTTAAGACAACCGAATTCCACTGTCTTTGAGTAAATCTTATGTGTCTTGTGGCCCACACAAGTCGGTTACGGCGATGGAGAGGTGTCAATATTGGTCCATTATAGGGCCTCCGAGCTCGAAGACCAGCAGTCTGCAAGCGATTTCGAACAGTTTGTGCAGTTACCCTTCCACCAAACATCTCTCTACTTGTGGAGGTTGCAGTGACAAATCTGTTTCTAAGATGACGTAATCGTATTGCTTGATCTTCTTGGAGTGACGTCACACCTGGCGCTCCCGCCCTTGGGCAGTCGGCAATAGTTCCAGTTTGAAGCACTCTCATTCTAAGATTAATTATTGTCTGGCGTGAACAATTAAAGGCTCTTGCAACAGTGACCACAGACTAACCAGCATAGAGCCTACCTATAGCACGTAGACGTTCTACATTTGAAAGGCATGGCATTTTCTAACAAAGATGAAAATAACAATTTTAATTTGTTTTTCCAGTTCAAGTTACGTGTGCGTGTTCAGTTTAAGCAAACTTGCATCGATTGACCTCACGAGTTTGTGTTTGCACATGTTTTTCAGGTTTTTCATCTTTATATGCTCAAAAGTCATGTGATCCAAGTGACTTTACAATTTTATGAAATTAAAGGCTTCTTACTACTTACTATCGTTAGAAATACTTTAAAATTTATTTGACTTACCAGAAAAAAATTTTTGTTGAAATTCAACAGTGTCAAGTTTTTAATTTGGCTGAGTATAGTTACTTAAGGAAGAAAAGGTTTTAAAGAAATATTCACAGATTCAACTTGATCATCGTTTTATTCTTTCTGTTATTCATATTCCATCAAGGGGAAATTTTATAAAAATGGCTGAAGTTTTACTCCGTGCATCAAACAACTATTTTATCATTGGTTAGAGCCGTCTAAATGCGGGGAAATTTACAGTAGATATTGGCTAACAGCACGCATAAACAATCTTATTTGCATATTGCCTACTATTTATAGTATTATGAGCTGGAATTATTTTTAAGTCGATAGCCTCAAGGACCAACATAGTACCATGTTTTTTTGTAGAGTATAGCATGTAGCGCAAAAGCAGACGATATATCAATCTCCCACGTACTGTCCAGTCGGCACTTGAATGGAAATAAGATAGACCATTTAAATCTTTTGTGTTGATAGTAAATAGTCCTGTAATTAATAGATAGCATCTGTTTGGTCGAAAATGCGTAATAAACTTGACCAAATTCTAGTTCGGGCCATGAGCATGGATCAGTCATCCACTTGTTTTCCTCAATTACACACGGCCATTACGGGTCTGTCGTATCTTTTCTACATCAAAGCTTTTGTTAATATTAATATTGTTTCTGGCATCGGTCAGTAATCGCTACACGTATGTAGAAATGGCGATTTGTTCCATTTTAAACAAGCTTACTGTACGACAGTATTTTCACAAAAAAACACACAATGGGTTGAATGGCATGGGTTTCAGTCTAGGCCACGTGTAAGGCCAGGGTCTGCACATGACCGAATGATGTCAAAAGGGAAACCCGGAAAAGCTCCTCACATATTTTGATTGGCTGTTGTACACGACATTTAGCCCTACTAGCAGTAGTAATATTATATTACTAGTTTTGGCAAGGCCTACTAGGCTACAATAATTGGTTCAAACTTCAAAAGCAAATAATACAACATAGGGCCTACTCTGATAATTGTAATATTTAAATACTTACCCCCATTCCACAACATGTGACTCATAATCCCAATATTCTTTGGGTTTGTGTGTATTTATATCAGGATAAACCCTTGCCCGACTTGGAAGAGGTGGCATGTTTAGTAAAGTTCGTACCGGTACGCTATTTTTATAGCGTATTACTTTTTTTAGGACAACCTTGTGTCCAAGAATACGGGACAAATAATGAAGGATAACTGAATTAGAAAACTAGTACCATGGAATCTGAAAATAAAGAAATAAAGAATGAGTTGAAATTAGGTAGGTAGGTCAATGGACCGGCATATAATTTTTTTCGGCTTTCGTCAGTTTTTTTTGTTTTTTTTGTGATGACGACAATGCGGCTGACAGCAAATTACCACACCGCAATACATACCTTTGTATTCAGAGAAACTTGTCTGTAAGTGTTACATTTAGAAATTCGTAAGGCTGACAAGCCTTGCATCTGTTTAATAAGAAGTTAGTTTGGAACATTAGGAAATGAGTGGCCCTGATAATGACATAAAACACAATATTTCAGGTTACATATAACACTCCTGACGCAAGATGGCGGCTGTCTTTCACCCGCGAACCTGCAACGAGGCTATTTTCCCTTAGCGCACCGATAGAAAAGAGTTGTTTCCCTTGCACTTTGTCTCGCTCATGGCATTAGATGAAATGAAATGAAATGGGGTTTAATCTCCTACTGGTCTGTTCCGACTGGGCTAATGGAGAGGGACATACGCCACACAGGGAAATTTTGCCCAGACAGCGGCGCTAAGGCCTACTCTTATATCGAATTCCAACACGCCAATGTGTAAACAGGACCTCGGTTTTCGTACCATCCGAAAGACTATACACTGTCCCTTGCCAGGCCCTCCGTCCCGCATCACTGACAAGAGGGAACCACGGCGCAAAGTTACGAGGAACTTTCTTGCTCAACACCTGCTGGGATCAAACACGTACGGAACCTCCAGTTAGCAAGTCAACGTCTTACTCACTGATAGCCACTCTTACATTCAGCAAAAATTCGGAATTATGATTAGGCTATGAATGCACATTTAGGACGAAAAAATGAAAGAAAAAAGTTAAAGTAGCTAAGTTAAAGTAGCTAAGTCTCTAGTCTAACGCAATATCATCCCAAGTCTTTGAAATTGAAAACACGAATTAGTTGTCAATTTAAATCAACATTGATGTTGTGATCTCAGGGGAAAAGATGGGCTTTTGATATCCAATATTTAAGACAAAATAAACATTTTACCACTGGCACTGACACGAATCGTGTACCATAATTTAATGCGTTTCAGCGCCATTTGTAACAAGGGACTCGAAGCACGAGGCTAGACATATTCCACAAGTTATGTCAAACGGTGACGTCACATTCTCACATTGAGAGCATGCGCAATGAATAGGCTATTGTCGATGTAGACTGAAATAACCAGACGCTAGAGATTGTCATTAGATTGAGACTTCTGGCGTATTTCGCCAAACATAACTGATTTGAAATTAGAGTAAAAATGGAAACGATTGAATGTAAATCCGTTTATATACATTCATATTACATTATGCGCTGCGACCCATTTGTGTCAATTTCTAGGTTCCAAATATTAGCGAATTAGCTCCTTTAAGTCTGAAAATGAATGGTGATTGTTTCAGCGGGTTTAGCTCAGCAGGCCTACCTTACATCGACCTTCACCATGACATATTCATATGGTACCGTTCCCAGTAACAGAAAAACGGTAAATCAGAGACTATGAATTTTTACGCTCACACTGAAATGTGTCGTCCCCATGACCGCAGGTCCACCCGTCAACAATTGGCTTGTGAATGCGATGTCATGTCATATAAAAGAAATCATGGCAAACTTTTAAGGCAGATTTCATTAGATTCCGGAAAGATTACCATCTGAGTTCCTAGACAGCAGCTTGATTCCAGAAGAAAAGGTGTAGCAATTTCTATCAGCAGACTCGAAATTGTAATCTATACTATGCTTGTATCCATGTATCCGGCTATGATATATAAAATGTAAAAACGAACTGTTGCATTGTTATAACTACTGAGAAGACAAACGTCTTATAAAAACAGCAAGAAGAAAATACACAACGTGAAGGAGAACACGATAGAGGCCTTCTGCGACGTTCCGTTACGGAGTTATCCTCCTCTGAAAACCTTGTGAACGTGATAGAGGCTCTGGTTTTTATCGGATTTCTTTCAGCAAACTAGGTGGGGAGCATTGGTGTCATGAACACTAGCAATATTCAATTTTCCGGAGCCATCCCCCTTTTCCGAAAACGTTGTGAACGCGACAGAGGTTGTAGTTTTTAATGGATGGGTTTTTTTTACAATTTTTGGTGGGAAGCATTTGGGTCATGGTTTCGATCCCTGGTGTGAGCTTATGTGGCTTAGAGATAGGGGTGCATTCTCAACCATGGGGTCACAGTGGCTAAGTGTGTAAGGCGCTGGCTCGCTAGCCTCGAGGTCTGGTGATTTTTCGGCGTGGTCCCCCCTTGTCAGTGATGCAGGACGGAGGGCCTGACAAGGACAGCTGTCTAGTCATTCGGATGAAACGAAAAACCGAGGTCCCGTATACACATTGGCGTCCACGTAAAAGATCCCTTGACAGTTGGAATTCGATGTAAGAGTAGGCCGTAGTGCCGCTGTCCGGGCAAAATTTCCCTCATAGCACACTGTATGGCATATGCCCGTCTTCATTAGCCCAGTTCGGAGCAAAACAGTAGGACGTTAAACTCCATTTCATTTCATTGCATTCTCAACCTCGTGGGTTTACTCCAGTTACTCTGGTTTGATCCCACAGAAAAGACCCCCGCGTTGCACTAATATGATAAAAATAAGAAAACTTGTCTACGACATCACTCTTGGTGGAAACGGACGGTAAACACCAATAGAAGAAATTTGGTTTATAGCATTTGAGTCATGAAAAACGACCTCTATCGATATTCAGAACTCTGCAACTCTCAGAATTCTGGGACTTTCAGCGTTCTGCGACTTTCCGTTACAGAGTTACCCCCCCCTCCCCTCCTCTACTGAAAACTTTATGAACGCGATAATATAAGGTCTACAGTTTTAAACGGAAAATGTTCAAACTTGGTAGGCAGCATTATGGTCATGAGAGGATGAACCCTAAGAATATTCAACTATCCGCGAATTTTCATTCCGGAGTCCCCTCCCCCTCTCCTCCGCTTTGTCTACCCCCTCCTCCACTTTGTCTAATACCATGTGAGCGTGATAGAGGCTATGTTTTAACGGATTTCTTTCAAATTTGAAAAACATTTAAGTTTTCTTTTACTGATATCTGTAGATCTGTCTCGTATATTTGTTTGCGTGTGGTGCAGTCGATCGATCGACTTTCTATAACGAAGCCAAAGTGTGTTTCCCCGCCCGGCTTCGCTCCACCGTCTCGGGTACCTTCCGCCCGCTCAAACCAGCAGCTCAACGACGGTGACATATTTGGCATACATTGTATTCGTTAACAGTTCGTAGCGGATCGCAGAAGTTCGCTGGGGTCTTGAGAAAATTTTGAATATGTTCAAGATTACTATGACAACCTTTGTATACGTAGAGCATTCGTTGTACGAACGTTTCGCACGTTGGGCCGCTGTTCGTTTATATACGCCAAACCCAACTTTCACTAGACTTCCAGAGTCCTGAGTCAATATCAACATGAAAATGACCCAAAACAGATTGCCATCGCTCAGTACATCCGAGGAAGAAGAAAATGGAGATAAGTTACAGATCGATGCGGACTAGAGTCTGAATTCGGAGTTGATGACAGCTCGGCTTGAATGACCAAGTTCTCGTCGAGCTCCACTGCGAGGACCCCACATCCTTTCTATAGATGATATCCATGGAATAGTTCACCATAGAATCGCTGGTTTCGGGAGCATTTGGAGCTTGGTCCTAAGCTCATTTTGACACCCCGTCACCTTTCCTCCGGTAACAAGCACCCTGGCATGAAATATGGATGGATGTCCCCACCACACAATATTTTCGTCGTCCGTGAGCTATAATCAACGTGTACATGGATATGGTCATGACGCACCTCATTGATTGGCTTGAGATTCGTTCGTTGGGCTTAATATCCGCTTCCAGCGAGGATGATATCGCAGTAGTTAGATTGGGTACCATTTCTAAAAGTAGAGCTTCTCCAATGCACGTGGAGCCGTGAATTAGAAACACGTCGCCTGTAGCTCGTCCGCAAATATTATGGTGCCACCTACTATATAAAGGCTTCTGTGAGGCATCGGAGGCTTGTCTGCGATATTACCTCGGTGGAAGCGGACGTTAAAGGCGGAAGTCTGACTTCCCTCTCTGACGCTCTCGTTTGGGGAGTCCACCGCTGGCCCGTCCGGACATGGGTGCGTTGAGGTGAGGATCCACGGTGTGGTGTTGGTCTACCGTGAGATGACACAGGCTTGCTTTGTGATGTAGATTTGGCTTGGCTGAATGCTTCTTGGCTGGTTGCGTCTTCTCCTTCTTTCCACCGAGCTTTTGTGGAGGCATGCTGGAACTGGAACTCTTAGCCTACGTTGAGTATTTGTTGAGTATTTGTCACGTACACTAAGCAGTCGTTGGATAGGCGCTATGCGCGCACTGTTATTCGTTACTCTGGAGACTAGTTGTACTCCCAGCATACGTTCCTCATTCGTTGGACATTAGAGACTTTTGGCAAGCGGAATATTTCCCATCCGTTGCGTCAATGTGGTTTTAGAGTTTTGGCTGATTTTCGCGTCGCGTACGTATGCATCGCTGAGCTGAGCTTAATTCTATTACAGCATGGTGGCAGATATTTAACAAGATCACCCTCTAGTCATGTGCCTAGTCTACAATTTTCCAGAGGGAGTAAAGTGGCTGAGCATTAAAAAAAAAATAAATGTAGAATCTTATTTAAAAAAAAATTGGTTTCAGTAATGTATAATTTCAGAAAGTTTATACCCCTTTACCATCGAATAAAATCATTTACAGATTTGCAAGGTCCAACCTCCTTAAATTTGCAGGAAACGCAATTCCTGGCCTTCAACCGTCATGTTCAGCGATTCGCTCGTCTCGCGCTTTGTCGGCAAAGGGTTGTTCGAGCAGGATGGTCATAGGAGCAGGCGTCTTCGGACCCGTCATCATCGATCGAGATGTCGGACCGCACTTTTCCGCCTGGTCGTCGATATTCTCGACCATGGGAGTAATGGGAGCGCGTCCAAGTAACCGTCTCGAGATCAACTGTCGCCCGAGAGGACGGGCGAGTGCCAGTCTCGAAATTTGAGAGAGATATGTGGAAGAGACAATCGGCGCTACCTGGCACGTGGAATTCATGGTGGTGGCTGATTCGTCACCAAGCCACGCTATCGAGCTTTCCCCCCGAGGGAAGGGACGGTTGAGACAAGAATTCCCCGGGACGACTGTTTCTCGTCACCGAACCAAACTCTCGAGATGTTTCGTCTGTCCTTCACTACAAAAAGGAGAGACGCGGTTACGGATGCCGGCTTGAGTTAGATCGGGGGTCCCTGGTCAGAATGAACGCGAATCGATGAATTTCGATGAAAAACCCCTTGAGTCTAAATAATCTAGTCCAAACCTGAGTTTTGCACTTTCAGACGAGTGCGATACACTTTTGAGGAGGTAGATGCGAGAGACGCAGTGCATTTGTGTACCTTTCATACGAGTGCATTTCAGCACGTCGTCCGATTTTCCCGCCAAAAACAGTCGCCATTTTAGAAATATCTTCATGAAGTGATGGAAAAAAATCTGAAATATAGTCACGAACTCTATCAATACTAATACAGTGCTAAATTACAGTCGATAACATTATAAATAAGTTGAAAACAAAATATAAGTTGGAATATTATCGCAAAATGGCTACCTTGCAATTAATGCGCCCCGTAGGCCTACTAGGAAGACCTACTCAGAAAAAATGTCAACATTGGTTTTTTGTCATTAAACCTTCAAAATAAAGCTTATTCCACGATTTCGATGGATGGGAATTATGTAACAAACCGAATTAGAATATGTAACAATCATAACTTAAATTTCTTCATAAAATAGAATTTCCAATGACTATAGTAGAGTCGTAGAATTTAGTGATGCACTTATGAGGATTCTGTAAAAATGATATAGTTTCCACTCAATTTGCACTCGATTGAGACTGCTGGCTTATTTCGCCGAACATAACTGATTTGAAATTGGAGTAAAAACGGAAACCATTGAATGTAAATCAGTTAATATACATTCATATTACAGTATTATATGCGTTGCGACCCACTTTTGTCAATTTCTAGGTCCCAACTGTTAGCGATTTAGCTCCTTTAAACGGTTTTTAAAATTAAATACAAATTGTGATTCCACAAGTCAAAAAACGTGACCTCTAGAGGGTCCACAACCTTGATATGCCATACTTTTCCACTATTTGCGTTCGAGGATCGGCCATTTTGTCGGGCAGTTTTGGTCCGATTTTCATTGTAACTCAACCATCATTATGGTATGACGGAGGTATATTTAAACGTTTTTTTTTTTAAATCAGTTAAAAATTCTGAAATTTAGAGGGACTACAAGCTAAAAAGCGCGATATTTGAATTTTGCAAAATAAAAACATGGCAAGTTATAGGCGGCATAAAACCGTAGACACAGACTAGTCATAGACACATAGAATGACTCAAACTGAATAAAATTTCGCGGCACACTTAGGAAGATCTCGCGGCACACTGGTTGAAAATCACTGCTCTAATTCATGTATATTTTTTGAAAATTTAGCAGGCTATATTACAGCCTATTTGTACAAGACTAAATGGTGTGGGGTTGGAGGACACTGCAGTAGTATTGCTATTGCCTGTGCCATAATTTGAAGATTGTATTATTATACAAAACAATTATCTTTATTTACAAAAAAACAAAGAAACAATCATACGATCTCAATTATATTAATATAAAAAAAAATCATCATTAATATTTCATTCAAATGAAAACAATACAGATTGTTTGGAAATCACAAGTGATATCAGTCTATATTCAAAACAATAGTATTCACAATTTGATTAAAACACAGATCCTATTTCGTTTTTTATAGTTCAAAATTTCGTTTTACTTGTCTTCACTACACTAGGATCTGGAAGAGTTGTTATATTACGGGCGTTTTGGTTGAAAATATAAACACCAAGCACGGAAATGTGGGTAAACCATTAGAAACCTCAACGCTGATTGATTAATCAATGTATGACATAATAGTCAAAAGCCACTCCTACGACCCCTGACACGACCTCCCAGTACAACTCATCAGATCTTCATGTAGTGTAGGCCATCGAAATAAAAAAACGAAACGAAATATAGATTTGTATTTTGATTAGATTGTGTTATTCCCAGTCTGGATATACTTGATCTGACACTGACTGTCATAGTGTTCTATAGATATCAAATTTGTTTACATAAAATTATCAATTTCCTAACATATATTTGGAGCTTATGAGTGATGTCCTACAATCTTGCTGTCATTCCACCAGTAACTAAAATAGTTTCTCCTGTAATATACGAGGAATCATCTGAGGCTAAGAAGGACACAGTACCGGCACATTCCTCAGGTTCTGCCATTCTGAAATAATGAAATAGTTAGTAAAACTCAATATTATTGAATGTGTCAAGATATTTTTATTACTACTAGACGCCCAAAATTCTACAGGACAAAAGTCAAATACCATATATTCAATATTAATACATGTAGGTAATTTCTATTTTCCTGGGATCAAAATAAGGCTTTATATGCACATACCTGCCTAAAGGAATTTGCTGTAATGCCATTTTATATGCACCGTCATTCTTCCATAACTGTAAAATAAAAACATAACACATCGGTATTAATGACAGAAATCTTCTAACCCCTAGATAGTAATAATTAAATGAAGGTGGTGAGGGAACTATGTGGATTAGGAAATATCTCATAGGGTAGAAATAGCCCATCTCGCTTTATAATCCCTGTAAGACATTTAGTAAGTGATTTTCAATACTAAAATACTTGGTATTGATACCATCTCTATATTACACTCCCGACTTTGTACAAATGAGACAGATCATAATGCACCAGTTGTGGTGATGGGTTTCTCTTCAGTTTCACTCTAGAAATAGTAGGTATTTATCTGTTTTAGTCTCCATGGTAAAGTTTATAGTGGGTGTTGAGGGCTGAGATAATTGAGAACAATTTTTCTTATTAGACATTTTTAACAAAAATAAAGGGGCGTAACTCTTATCATTATCCAATCATTGGATCTTTCTTCACCTAAAGCATGAACACACTGCTATGCTATATTTCAAAACAATACTACATTTCAGTTTATTTCTTAATTCTAACAAAATCATTAAAAAAAAAAAAACATTAGATGCATCAGATAGTTAAAACCACTTACAGCTTCACTAAATTTGGTTTTAATTATACCGGGAGCCAATACATTAACTCGGATTTTAGATTGGGCTAATTCTGGTACCATAGCTTTAGCTAATCCAAACAATGCTGTTTTACTAACACCATATGGTCCTAATAACTGGAACATAAATGTTGATAATGTGGATTTTACTTTCAACTAATAAAATCTATATACTTAAACATGCACTATGCAAGAGCAAAATCTGCTCATTACAAGTCTTTCTTTAGGCCTGAAATGTTATCTAAATTATCAATTAGACATTAATTAACTTATCCAGACCATAATAAACTCTCGATGTCAAGGCTAGCCTTCGATGTTGGCTGGATTAGATTCCTATATGCCGCTAACGGCCGTTGATAATTAAATCAGAAAAAGTGGATAATCGAGACTATGCTGTTTATATTAATGATTTTAGTAATGATGACCGAGACTATGCAAAAATTTCACCCGCTTCTTTCTCGGCTCATAGTGGATCAATTTGACTGAACTTTTCAGCAAATTACCTTTACACTATCTAGTTTTTAACTATTATAGTGAGAACTGCCATCTCTTTATCTTATCTCCCATAATGTATCTTTAATAATACTATTCATGCAATTTATTTCATGTTGTTTTTTAAATTTACCATAATTCTAAAGATATTTCATCTATTATAAAGCCATGCATCTAATACATAATGTACAAGAATATTTCTGTTAAGTTTTTTGATTTTGTGGAGCAGAAGCATTAGCTTAGCTCAGACAAAGCAAAATACATTTAAAAAGTTGACTAACAGTGTAGTAGTTACTGTTTACATAAATGGTGTTATACATCCAATCAATATTTTGTAATTTTCATATTTTAGAAAATGTAAGAAAAGAATATGTAATATAGATTTCTGATTAAAAGTTTTAAACTTACCGATAAAGGTACATAACCTGCTATAGAACTAACTAAAATAATTGACCCACTCCTACAAATAAATCATACAATATTTAAAATAAACAAATTTCTAAAAAAATTAATTTTATTTATAATTTTATTTAGCCCTGTTAGATGGATTTAGAATGTACTTTAGAGTTTTGGGCAAAAGACTACGACCAATCTTGCCAATTAATTTTAGAATATTTTCGGCATATGAATATATTTTGTCAAAAGTAATTTGTATGTTTTGTGTAATTAATGCAATTAACAGTTTGTGTTCCTAAGATAACCAAATCACACATGGGAGGAGGGAAGGAGGGGCAACATATATGTTGCTTAGTCTTAGACTAAGTATAGTAGAATAGCTAAGGCAAGTGATGCATTGATATAAACATTGTTTTTCTGTCGGGACATGAAAAGGATACAAGACACCTGACAATTTTATTTTTCCAAGAAATAACAAAGTCTAAATACATAATTCACTAAGCATTTGTAATCCCTTGAAAGACAGATATAAGAGTTTAAATGCATACTAATCTCACCCTCTTTTAATAATGTGAGGAACTGTTTCTTGACACAGTAGAAAAGTAGCTTTTACATTTATATCAAATATCTGCAAAAAACAAATAGAACACATATAGATCACATATCTAAAAGGTTTTACTATTATATTCATTGTGTGCTAAATATTGTTTATATTGATATTATAAACCAAGCCAACATTGCAGCTAATGTTCTGCACCTCAAAATAAATAGATGACACTCATTTGAACATGCACACTAGGGTGTTTCATATTTGAACTCTTTTTCGCGATTGAACTCTACCATGTGCCATGCGTTTCCAATTGGGTCCAAACTCATCACCAGCGAATATTATAATTTTCCCACCAAAAATGGCGGGCCGCCACCATTTTGAATTTTTCGCCAAATGTGAAATTTTTGAAAAAGTCGGAAAAATACTTCCCGTTACGGTAGAAAGATAAAACTTGGCACAATGCATCGAAAAGGCACAAAGATGATCTGCAATATATTTCAGAATTTTAGCATAAAAATTTAGGAGGGTTGCCATTTGGCATTTTTTAGAAAAAAGTCTTTTTCTGTAGAATTTGTTAAGACCACGGTGATTAAACTCCACCAAAACGTCATAAACTAATGTATCTACACAAATGGAGATAAATAAAGAACTAAATTAGTTATACGGGTTGTCCTCGATGAATATTTGATCATACAAGAGAGACAGAAACCATTCAAATAGTCACAAAATTCATTTAATAATCCAGACGAGCCAAAGTGTGTTTCATATAGTCAGAAAATTTTGTGTGATGTATTTCGACTGACTGTAGCAAGGCCTGTAACTGTTCTTCATCGCCAGTCTCGAATCGTCTTGATTCCCCGTTCTGCAAGATCATTTGACACATGAGTGTTTTCCACAAAGCTTAGAAATTTTCTAAATTTAAAAAAAATTCCTATTCGCTACATGGTACCTGCATCTATTCCTGTGATTAGGTGAGGCCAAGAGGATTAAAGACAAACCATGAGTCGTTAGATATAAGCTCGGTATAATCTGTGTCATTGTATATTTCTGGAAAGTTCTCCCTGCATCCATTCCTGTGGTTCGGTGAGGCCAAGAGGATTAAAACAAGTCGTGAGACGTTAGATATAAGCTCAGAAAAATCTGTTTCATTGTTTATTTCTTGAATTTTGGGTTATCCTGGATTGAGCTGAGGCCTAGGTGTTGAAAACTGGTAGTTTTTTGCTTATGTGACAAAGGACTGTCTGGTAAAGTCTGTGGACCCATGGCTATAAAACTGTTTTCAACACCTAGAGTAAGACCTCATTTCAAACCAGGAAGATCCAAAATTCAAGAAATAGACAATAAACAGATTGTTCTGAGCTTATATCTAACGACTCATGGCTTGTCTTTAATCCTCTTGGCCTCACCGAATCACAGGAATAGATGCAGGTACCATGTAGCGAATAGGACAAATTTTTGAATTTAGAAAATTTCTAAGCTTTGTGGAAAACACTCCTGTAACAAATGATCCAGAACGGGGAATCAGGACGATTCAAGACTTCATTGACAAGACTGGCAATAAAGAACAGTTACAGGCCTTGCTACAGTCAGTCGAATTGCATCACACCAAATTTCCTGACTATATGAAACACACTTGTGATTATTTGAATGATTTCTGTCACTCTTGTATGATCAAATATTCATCGAGGACAACCCGTATAACTAATTTAGTTCTTTATTAATCTCCATTTGTGTAGATAGGTTTGTTTATGACATTTTGGTGGAGTTTAATCACCGTGGTCTTAACAAATTCTACAGAAAAAGACTTTTTTCTAAAAAATGCCAAATTGCAAACCTCCTGAATTTTAATGCTAAAATTCTGAAATAAATCGCAGAACATCTCTGTGCCTTTTCGATGCATTGTGCCATGTTTTGTCTTTCTACTGTAACGGGAAGTATTTTTTCCGACTTTTTCAAAAATTTCACATTGATCATTTTTGGTGAAAAATTCAAAATGGCGGTGGCCCGCCATTTTTGGTAGGAAAATTATAATATTCGCTGGTGATGAGTTTGGACCCAATTGGAAACGCATGGCACATGGTAGAGTTCAATCGCGAAAAAAAGTTCAAATATGAAACACCATAATGCACACTCATCTTCTTATAAAACATCCAGCAATCAAATTACTTATCACTCTGCTTAACCTATGTAAGAAATGGCTATTATAAAACTTAGTCATGGTACTGATGCGATGAAACAATCTACACACCACGTTTCACCACTATCCCACAATTACATATTTATACATCAGTATCTTCCAAAAAAGTAGGGGATATTGAAATGCAAATACCTATGCAGGATTGTGTTATGATAAATAGTCATGGACACTTCACATGCTTTGAGAGTATGTTCACAGATGAAGAACTTATCGCCCCAACAGAACCACTGAGCTACACATGCGACACACAATAGCACCATACACGTGGTTGATGAAAACTGCCGCGTGATGGTTTATCCTATCCGTGTTTGCTTTCCTATCGGTTCTTGCATAAGAGTGTTTAGCGTAACTTTGCTTTAGTGTGTTACGTTTAATTTGATCGGCAGACGTGTTCGTCAACGTCAACATCAACCGACAATACTGCAAGAATTGGCCATGGCACTGCAAGAGGAGTGGGTCAGATTGCCCAAAATCCTGATTGGAGGGTTGATTAGGAGCATGCCACAACGAATTGCTGAATGTCTGAGGATTGGTGGAGCAATTACTCATTATTAAGACAAAAATCAAAAACGTCCATTTTCACTTTTGACAGTGTATCTATTTGCGAGTGAAATGGGGCCGTCAGATAAGCATCCCATATGAACTGTATATGTTCATGTGTAGGCAATTGGCCTGTTATTAACAAACACTGGTTACCTCTAATAAAAACATCAGTGCATTTCTGCAGTTTTGTATTGTTTCTGAATCAATATCCCCTACTTTTTTTTTGAAGAGTATATATACCTTCTTTATGTAATTGTGGAATAGTGGTATATATATATATTTATATACATATACATACATCAAGATAATTGATTGAAAACCAAGTGTAAATCCCCATAACTGATACTAAAACATGCAAAAATTACTGAAAGACAACAAAAAGTTTACCTTATCCCATGAGTCTTCTTTTATCTGAAAATTCAAAAATAAAAAATGTTTTATACAAACAAATAAAAAATGTACATTAGAATGTACATTAAAGAGCAGGTTCATGTAGATTCAGAAATGGCTAAAATTATAAGGGTCTCACTTCAACATACTGAAGATGCATAAGAATGTTTTGCTAATTGGTGACTTTTTGGGAAAGTCATCCATATGTCAGGTATTGGTATAATTTTTTGAATTACTGCATGCAGTGGGTCAGTGAACAATAATTATATTCACATCATAAACTCTATGAAAAATGTACTACTCTTTATCAAAGAGATTGATATTGAGTGAAGCTAATTTAATGTCTAGTCTAGATAACAACATAACAATGTCAATTCAGGACCATAGGCTGTCCCAATTTCTTATGTGTTGCTTACTCATTGTCGCATTTACGTCTGCAATGGTGACAGACTTCAGATCTGCAGTGTCATGAATAAGTTAACTCACCCACCCTATAACTGTTTATTCTAATAATGGATACTCACGTTCATCATTGGTCCAAAATAAGGATTGACAGCAGCATTGGAAACCAGAATATCAATACCACCAAATCTCTCTACAGTCTTTAAAAAATTTATAAATTATGTAGTCTATTACCTTTATTATAGTTTGATATTTTAATATTTTGAATTCCATCCACTGATTTCCATTGAAATTTTTAATTTTTATTGTTTTTTCTAATAGACCTGAAGCCAAAATTTCTAGCTTGCTAAGAAACACAATCCTGCTACAAGGTTCTCCCTACAAAACAAACTATACATTTTTGAAAAGCTTATAACACCAATAACACAAATCCAGAGGGTTCCAAGCAAAATGTTTGCAATAACTCAATTTAGGGCCAGATGAAAATTGTGATAATTGTAAAGTAAATGCTATATTTATAATAACAATTTTGAAGTTGACATAAAATTAAATATTTGCGAAAACACCCAATGCCTTCATCTTCGGTAAAGAATATGGTATTGGTTAAATTTTGATGACTTTGTAACGGAACTTCATGCTAGAAATTTTGGCCCTTACTGTTTTGCTACATTAATTAGAAAGTTCTACAGTCAAGAACATACCAAAAACAAAAGAATTGAAGCATTTCATTATAAAATATTACTTTACTTTATAATGTCATGCTCTTATATGCCAGAATAAAAGTTAAATATAGATATCAACACAATACATAATCCAAAGTATTATTTATTAATTGAAAGAAAACATTTAGATCCAAAAATTATTTAAAGCAATGAATTCTAACTTATAGCCATTTAAAGTTTACTTGCTTTGGTTTCCATTGATTTCAAACTGCCATCTTTATGTGACAAATATAGTAAGTATATTAATTAACAGCGGACTGCAGCAAAATACAAATTGTATGATATATATCTGCTTGCAGTCCTTAAAGAATAAAACCACTGGTTTGCAATCTTGATACATCTCTATTATTTTACCTAATGTTGGCAGCATTAGAGTAGTAACATGTCTGTGCAGATAGAATTTTAAAAACATTACCTTTTCAACTAAATTTGTTCTATCACTTGTTTTGCCAACATGACAAACAACACCTTCAACTTCCAAATGTTCTTTTTTTAAGGTCTGAACGGCATGGTCAACATGTTCTTGCTTGCGACTGCTGATCATGACCTTGGCACCATCTTGTCCCAATCGTCTGGCTATAGCAAAACCAATTCTGAAAAAAACCGAAAACATCTAGACCATTAGAGGTATTACATAATGAAATGAAGTTTTACATTTTCCTATTCTGCACCCATGATGAAAATGGGCATACTATCAATGGTTTTTTTTACACGCACAACACAGCAAATTCTACTCAGGACCTCGATGGTACTCCTTTGTCAGACCAACTCTTTTCTCCACCACCATTCAGAGATCCTGTAGCACTTTCTCAGCCAACACAGGGACACCCTAGTTAGTGAGTCAGCACCAAACTGACAGAATTGCAGGCTATATATTCAGTTGTAAAATTCAAATGGATATAATCAAGGTTAAACACTTCAGGTTTATCTTGTGGCTAGAACAGGCACATACAAAACATCATAATACATTTACCACTGCACTCATCTACATGTATAGACTGGGACCACATATGATCTAATCACTTGATTTGATATGTTTTTTTTGTTTAATGCTTGCATTGTCTGCGTAGTTTGTGTGTCTCGTACGCAGATTTGCCTTATTTCGTTTTTGATGAGGCTATGTTGATAAGTTCGCTTTCAACTGTGCAAAAAAAAGTTCCATTTGAATCCAGTTCAACATGATTTTGGATATTGAAAAAAAAAAAAAAAAATAATCAAATAGTTTATGTGAAGAAATAATTTTCTTTTTGATATTTTGGTATCTGATGGTCACAATGTTTGTATTTCCATTTGTTTGCTTGCATAAAGTTTCCTGTCAAAATTGTATAGGCCTACATCTGATTATTATTACATCAGTAAAACTAAAATATATAGTACATGTATTTGTTATGTTGTGTTAAATCCCAGTTTCTGTGTTTTAGCAGAAGTGACCTCCAGTTATTACAGATGTACAGCCATAATGACACTAGAGACCTCTGTTCTAAGGCTATTTTGGAATCCTCATCTTCTATTTTTCATGACGATTTATTTCTTTTCACCAAAAGGAATCATTTCTCACCTGGCCCCGAGTTCACAAAGCATTCTCAGATTCAGTTGAGAATTTACTCAAAATTGTTCGCCTTATTCTAAAATATAGTCCTTTGTGAAACTTTTGTTGTTTTAATGTGTCAAATACATCAATAAGAAACTATGTGCAAATATTTGTGTTTCTGGATCAAAGATATTTCTCATCATAAACAGTGATTGAAAGTTGAGTAAATTCTTAACTTAAGTCTTAGAATGCTTTGTGAACTCTGGGCCAGATCTGACACAAATTTATAATAATTCAAGAGTATGTTCAAGTAAAGTTTTGTGATTTAAAAAAACATCTGGTCGGCGCATGTTTGAGTCTTGTAATGGCGGATCAGCTCAAACGTCTTTTGTCTATTGTTAATCACAAAATTCTACTTGGAAATAGTATTAGATTATTATAATGAACATCTACATAAGTTTATACATTCTACCTCAATTAAAAGCGAAGTTGTTATGTTCCAAAGTCTTAAATAATCAAATTGCTTATCTCTACTTAGCCTAAGCAGAAAATTCTCATCATCAAACTTAGTCAAGGTATTGATATAATGAAATAAAATAAAACCAAGTACGAACAATCCAAACCATTAGACAAAATTTGAAGTCTTAAAAAAACGGTATCGGCAAAATAATCCATACTTGGAGTTTCATCACTCTCACACAATTAGAACCGAAGTTCCATGGTCTCAACCAATCAAATTGCATGGCTATGCTTAGCCTAAGCGGAAAATGCACATGATCAAACTCTGTCAAGGCATTTACCTACACCGAGTTTTAACATTTTACCTCAATTAGAAGGAAAGTAATTGTGGTCCAAAGTCTCGACCAATCACATTGAAGTCTATACTTTGCCTGAGCAGAAAATGCTCAGCATCGAACTTGGTTAAATAAGGTATTGATGTAATGAAACTATACACAAAGTCTCACCACTATCACTCAATTCGGATCAAATTTGTAAAGCTCCAAAGTCCCTACCAATCAAATTGCTAATCGCTCTCCTTACCCTGGGCCGAAAATGCTCATTATCGAACTTAGTCAAGGTATTGATGTGATGAAACTATACACTAAGTTTCATCACTCTCACTTAAACATACATTGTGCAAGAGCTAAATCTGTCTATTGCAGGTCCTTCTTTAGGCCTGAAATGTTATCTAAATTATTAATTAGACATTAATTAACCTATCCAGACCATAATCAACTCCCGATGCCCCCGCTAGCCTGCGATCTTTAGTGGATTGTGAGCCGATTTACTGCATAACTTTCCTTCACGATTTAACAATTAAATGGATAATTGAGACAAGACTATGCTGTTTATCGTACTGACTTTAGTAATGATGATCAAAGCTAGCCGGAAATTTCAACCGCTTAGTTCTCGGTTCACAGTGGATCAATTTGAAAGAAATTTTCAGCAAATTGCCTTTACATTATCTAGTTTTTAACTATTATAGTGAGGACTGCCAACTCGTTATCGAATCTACCATAATGTAACTTTAAACATACAAACATACTTTAGTAATGTCGATCGAGGCTGGCCCCAAATTTCAATCACCAATATATTGGTTCAGGCTGAAATTTTCAGCATATTCCCTTTACATTATTTAGTTTTTAACTATTGTAGTGAGAACTGCCAGCTGTTTATCTAATCTTCCATAATGCCCCTTTTATTTAGAACTAAAGTTATCATGTCCCAAAGCATAAACCAATCAAATTGAATATCTCTGCTTACCCTAAGTAGAAAATGCTTATCTTCGAACCCCATCAAGGCATTTACCTTATAAACACCAACACCAAATTTTAAAATTCTACCTAAATTAGAAGCTGACAGACAGACAGACCCATTTTAATAGTCCCCTGTTTTCTTTGAAAGATATGGGACAAATAAAAATGAATCACAGTGAAAAATAGAAGGTAAGGATTCCAAAATAGCCATAGAGCAGAGTTGGGGAAGAGGGGTATTTTCATATTGCAGCTTTATAGGGATGATTAGTAACGGTCAGAGGACACCGTCCGATCAGAGGCTGTTCCTACAGGAACTACAGATTAAGGGCAGCCGGAGTAGAATAGTACATGTAGTGGGCTAATTAAACCCCATTTCATTACGTCTCTAACTCAATATCATTCGAAGTCTTCGACATTGAAAACACAAATTATTTGTCAATTTAAATCAACATTGATGTTGTGATCTTAACGGGAAAAGATGAGCTTGTGATATCCAAAATCTAAACTAGCTAAGTCTCTAACTCAATATCATCCAAAATCTTCGACATTGAAAACACGAATTATTTGTCAATTTAAATCAACATTGATGCTGTGATCTTTCGGGGAACAGATGGGCTTCTGATATCCAATAATTAAGACAAAATAAACATTTTACCGTTGGTACATGAATCGTGTACCATGGTGCATTTCAGCGCCATTTTTAACAAGAGACTCGTAGAAAGAGGCTAGATATATTCCACAAGTCATGTCAAACGTTGATGTCATATTCTTATCTGGAGAGCATGCGCAATAAATACTATCGGTATAGAGTGGAATAACAAGACGCTAGAGATTGCCATTCGACTGAGACTTCTGGCGTATATTTCGCCGAACATAACTGATTAGAAATTGCAGTAAAAACAGAAACGATTGAATGTAAATCAGTTTATATACATTCACATTACATTATTATATGCGTTGCAACCCATTTGTGTCAATTTCTAGATCCAAAATATTAGCGATTTAGCTCCTTTAAGGACCATACACAGCATGTCAGCATCATTTGTAACAAAGGACTCAAAGAACAAGGCCAGACATATTCCACAAGTCATGTCAAACGGTGACGCATGCGCAATAAATACTATCGGTGTAGACTGGAATAACCAGTTGCTAGAGACTGCCATTCAATTTAGATAAGAAACATCATCTCTTAACCCTCTGTGTTTCGAGATAAGAGATGGTGCTATATAGTTTCAATTGGCAAACCCCCTACACTAATCACATCGGGCTTCAAATAATCAAAATTGACAGTTTTTTCTTCAAAGCAACGATTGATTATTGTTATTTTTAACATTTCTGCCACATCCAACTACAATTAAGCAGAAAAGTCCCTCTTTTTAAATCGAAGCGATAATAGATTAATTTCTCCGACATTTTAAAATTGACATCTTTAACACATAAAGGCAGGGACTCGAGTACAATAGCCAATCAAAGTACTACTAACCTGATCCGAGTTGCGCAGGAGTAATGCACTGTAATTATGAATGTCCGTATCAATTCTGATAAAAACAACACTTGATTTACTTTATTGTCAATAAATGAAAGTTGTTTCAGTAAATAGGGTTGCGTATGTGTAATAAGTTCTAATAGTATAAAATTAACTTATTTTTAAGATTTTACATGCATTAATAAAGAAATTAAGTTTGCCAGGTAGCTAAAAACAAGCACATCAGTATATCTCAATGTTTTTAGCTACGTTCTCATAGCTACTGTTTGGTTTGTGGGTTCTGTTAAAGTTGCAATTTCAAATTTTTAAGTTATATTTTTAAAATTTATTAAAATAAAGCCTTAAAATAGATGGTATCCATAGACAGTCCTACCTTGTTAAAGAATAATCCTATTAAACCTATAATTCACTATTGCCAGCTGAGAAATTGGCAAAAATATCATTTTCATCTTTAAATTCTAACGTTGTAACATGGCTGCCCATGTTGTCAATGGGAAAACATGGGAGATAATTGTGTTCTTATTTCCTGTGTCAACTTTTTGAAGGGTGGGAAATATTGCCCGGGTCATCCAATAGTGAGTTAATAACCTATAATATTGAGCAAAAGACATAGAAATAATCATGTTTTGACTTTCTAAGAAAATTTGAAATTATCGCTTTAAGTAACACAGTCTGTGAGTTCAAAACTTCAAATACATTTATTCTTGGAGACATCTTACAGTGAAACTCATGCCATTACACGCCATGTGCGAACAAAACGAGGGTCGTCAGAACCTATCACGTCACATGATCCAAACCATGGACCTTATAATACATTATAAGGTCCATGTCCAAACATACTTGATACTACAAGATCCTTTCTTCTTAGACATTCTGACTACTCTTTACAATGTAACAATTATAATAATAGTTCATGAACACACAACATTTTACAGAAACAAGAATGACAGATGGACACTACGATGATCTAACTTTATTAAATGTTCCAACATATCAATACATATTTTACATTTCTGTGATAAGCCATTTAATAGGTCTTATGCATCTATGAGATCTTCGAGGCGCATATGTACCTTTAGGCAATGCTCTTTGATCAGGCGGATTATTATAATAGTCATTTAATTTATCAACATCTCCATAATCACATTCAATGATTTTGGGCTGATTACAAGGGTTCATACTAGAACAATTACGTCTCAAATTATAGTAGTCTCTACAATATAAGACCTGGGATTAGAGGTTTCCTTTATGACAGTGCCATGCTTATTCCTGTCATGTATAAAGACATATTGGTTTGCAGTTTCAATTCTTTAGAACCTATCCCCTCACGTGATCCAAACGTACTTGATATACAACAGCTACATTCGATCGAGACTCTTACTCTTGGTGTATTTCGCCTAACATAACTGATTAGAAATTATAAAAACAGAAACGATTCAATGTATATCAGTTCATATTCATTCATGTTACATATATTCATCAATTTGAATTTAGCTCCTTTAATTTCAACTGCCATGGTCTGAATCAATTATGCGCGCGCTGTATCATAAAGTCTGTCATTGAGTCGACTGGCGTGGTTTCGAATCCCCGGTTGTACATGACAAGGAGTAGGGTCACATGTCCAACCTTGTGGGTTTTCTCCGGGTCCTCCCACTGCTAAAGACCCCTACGCGCAATCAAATTATGTAAATAAAATTAAACCATATGTTAGTTCCGAAATGACCTAGTTTGTGTCGAGTGGACGTTAAACCCCATTTCTCTCTCTCTCTCCCCCCCCCCCCCCTGAATCAATTACTAATTATATTGATTGATGCATTATTTCACATTTGTTTCATTAAACTTACCCATCAGTGGATGCTGTGACAATGGCTACCTTTCCTAAAAGTTTTCGTGCCATTTCGTGACTTAACAAAATCAAACCTTGACCAAAAGCATTAGACTTTAACCTAACTTGATTAAGTTTCAGAGCAGGCAACTTATTTTGTAAATGTTAAGAAAAGAGTTATCCTTAATCAGAACCTGGCGGTGGCGCTCCGTCAATTTAGATTTCCCCTTCAGAAATATGTCATGTGCTTTATCAATTTTAACAAAGGAGTGTTCATTCCTACATATTATTGGCATTATTATAGCAGATTCAATATAATCTTGGCTTCTTCTCTGATATTCACGTTTTCAGGAAATATATTTACTTTCAAATGATCTTTGAGACAAAGGGTGAAGCCGTTTACTTTAAAAATTAGTTTCAATGATTGAGAAAAAACGTTATCGCATTGGTTGTTATAAATAGTCTTACTTCGCGGAATCGTTATTGTTATTTTTATTGGCTGATTAATTTACGGTTATTTATAGACGAATGGTATTGTTAAAAGCGGCCAATTGGCCAACATCAGTGAGTCGACCCTAAGTCCAAAACAAATAGTCAGTCGAATAAACCGGTCGATGGTTTATTAAAATTTTGGAATCGTTTGTAATCAGTATAAGTTAAAGAAAAAACGCACTAATTCCAATATCTTTTATCATTGTTTTTGTTTATTTTTTACGTCCCCTCATGTTCAAATTTGATTGTTCAAATTAAAACTTTATGGTGTTATCTTAGTTATTGCCACCGCGGCTTAATAAAGTCATGCTTTACTTTTTCCCTCATCCCCATATGCCCCCATCTTTTAAGTGCACGCCAATGTGTACACGGGACCTCGGTTTTTCGTCCCATCCGAACAACTAGACATCTGTCCTTGTCCACCTCCAAAAGAATAGAGTCCCTATATATGATATGTTGGGTTAGGGGGGCGTATGGGGATGAGGTATTTGACATTATCATGTGGCCTCGTCCAGTCGATAAAATCAGTCAGTTAGTTCAGTCGATAACATCAGTCAGTTAGTTCATGCTCGTCCCATCCGAACGACTAGACAGCTGTCCTTCTCCGCCTCGAAAAGAATAGAGTCAATATATATGATATGAACGTGGAAAGGGGATGCGATGGGGCGGGGGGGGGGGGGGGGTATTGGAGGGCGTGTCGGGATGAGGTATTTGACATTTTCATGTGGCCTCGTCCAGTCGATAAAATCAGTCAGTTAGTTCAGTCGAATAATCCAGTCGAATAATTCAGTCGAATAAACAAGTCGCTCAATATTAAGCAGCGGTGGCAGCGGGCTAAGATAATATAGTAGCAAATCATGCTCGTAGACATAGCTGAAGGAGCCGGGGCATGGGGTAGGGACCGGGGGGCTTCCCAACTAGTTTCAAGAAATGAAAAAAAATGAAATGGGGTTTTAACGTCCTACTGTTCTGCTTGGAACTGGGCTAATGAAGACGGGCATACGCCATACACTGTGCTATGAGGGAAATTTTGCCCGGACAGCGGCACTACGGCCCATCTGTCAAAGGGATCTTTTACGTCCACGCAAATGTGCACACGGGACCTCGGTTTTTCGTCCCATCCGAACGACTAGACAGCTGTCCTTGTCCGCCTCGAAAAGAATAGAGTCCCTATATATGATATGAACGAAGAAAGGGGGTGGGGCGGGGAGGGGGATGAGGTATTTGACATTTTCATGTGGCCTCGTCCAGTCGATAAAATCAGTGAGTTAGTTCAGTCGAATAATCCAGTCGAATAAACCAGTCGAATAATTCAGTCGAAAAGTTCAGTCGAATACTTCAGTCGAATAGTTCAGTCGAATAATCCAGTCGAATAATTCAGTCGAATAAACAAGTCGAATAAACAAGTCGCTCAATATTAAGCAGCGGTGGCAGTGGGCTAAGATGATATGGTAGCAAATCATGCTCTTAGACATAGCTGAAGGAGCCGGGGCATGGGGTAGAGACCGGGGGGCTTCCCAACTAGTTTCAAGAAATGAAAAGAAATGAAATGGGGTTTTAACGTCCTACTGTTCTGCTTGGAACTGGGCTAATGAAGACGGGCATACGCCATACACTGTGCGATGAGGGAAATTTTGCCCGGACAGCGGCACTACGGCGTACTCTTATATCGAATTCCATCTGTCAAGGGATCTTTTACGTCCACGACAATGTGCACACGGGACCTCGGTTTTTCGTCCCATCCGAACGACTAGACAGCTGTCCTTGTCCGCCTCGAAAAGAATAGAGTCCCTATATATGATATGAACGAAGAAAGGGGATGGGGTGGGGGGGGATGAGGTATTTGACATTTTCATGTGGCCTCGTCCAGTCGATAAAATCAGTCAGTTAGTTCAGTCGAATAATCCAGTCGAATAAACCAGTCGAATAATTCAGTCGAAAAGTTCAGTCGAATACTTCAGTCGAATAATCCAGTCGAATAATTCAGTCGAATAAACAAGTCGCTCAATATTAAGCAGCGGTGGCAGCGGGCTAAGATAATATAGTAGCAAATCATGCTCGTAGCCATAGCTGAAGGAGCCGGGGGCATGGGGTAGGGACTGGGGGGCTTCCCAACTAGTTTCAACTAGTTTTGCCCGGACAGCGGCACTACGGCGTACTCTTATATCGAATTCCATCTGTCAAGGGATCTTTTACGTCCACTCCAATGTATACACGGGACCTCGGTTTTTCGTCCCATCCGAAATACTAGACAGCTGTCCTTGTCCGCCTCGAAAAGAATAGAGTCCCTATATATGATATGAACGAAGAAAGGGGATGGGGTGGGGCAGGGGTGGGGGGGTGAGGTATTTGACATTTTCATGTGGCCTCGTCCAGTCGATAAAATCAGTCAGTTAGTTCAGTCGAATAATCCAGTCGAATAAACCAGTCGAATAAACCAGTCGAAAAGTTCAGTCGAATACTTCAGTCGAATAGTTCAGTCGAATAATTCAGTCGAATAAACAAGTCGCTCAAAATTAAGCAGCGGTGGCAGCGGGCTAAGATAATATGGTAGCAAATCATGCTCGTAGACATAGCTGAAGGAGCCGGGGCATGGGGTAGGGACCGGGGGGCTTCCCAACTAGTTTCAAGAAATGAAAAGAAATGAAATGGGGTTTTAACGTCCTACTGTTCTGCTTGGAACTGGGCTAATGAAGACGGGCATACGCCATACACTGTGCGATGAGGGAAATTTTGCCCGGACAGCGGCACTACGGCCTACTCTTATATCGAATTCCATCTGTCAAGGGATCTTTTACGTCCACGCGAATGTGTACAAGGGACCTCGGTTTTTCGTACCATCCGAACGACTAGACAGCTGTCCTTGTCCGCCTCGAAAAGAATAGTCGAGTCCCTATATATGATATGAACGAAGAAAGGGGATGGGGTGGGGGTGGGGGTGAGGTATTTGACATTTTCATGTGGCCTCGTCCAGTCGATAAAGTCAGTCAGTTAGTTCAGTCGAATAACCCAGTCGAATAAACCAGTCGAATAATTCAGTCGAAAAGTTCAGTCGAATACTTCAGTCGAATAAACAAGTCGCTCAATATTATTTAAGCAGCGGTGGCAGCGGGCTATGTTCAAATCTGACAGTTGAAATCAAAACTTTATTGAGATTTTCCTTCAATAGCAATCCCCTAAACAAGCTGTTGACCTCTCTTTGCGAGTAAGGTCGTCATCTAGGGTTAAGGGTCAACGACTGAGGTTATCGACTGAAAACAATGGCCGTAGTGTACTATAAACAACTTGTTTTTAGTCTGTGTCCGATGCATACAACTGATGACACCATAGTATCTAGTCGCTTCGGAATAAAGACAACGATGTGGAGGTATTTATAGAGGAGTAGGCTACATGCTGTAATCTTAGTTACTGCCACCACTGCTTAATAAAGTCAAGCTTGACGTTTTTCCTCGTCATAATATAATATTATTAAGCGACTGGATTATTCGACTGAATTATAGGCCTATCTGGCTGTTTGTTTTTTCGGCTGAATTCCTTGACTAAATTCCTTGACTAGTTTTCTTGACTAATATTTTATCGATTGGATTATTTGACTGGTTTTATCGAATGAGGTATTCAGCTCATTTTACAGACTGATTTATTCGACTGAGATTTGACCGGTTTTATTCCCCACCCCACCCCCTGACTATGAGCGCTAAACTCAATTCAGACGGATCTGGCAGGGTGGGGGATGTAGGCCTATTACCGGTACTAGCTATCTACTGACTACTTAAGTATTGCCTTAATGCCTTATTTTGGGCTAATCTGTATTATCTTATAGTTCACTGCCACTCAGCTTAATATTGTGTGAATGGATATGATGTTATATATATATATATATGACTGATATATTCATATTCGACTGATAAATACGACTGACTTAATCGACTGAAATATTTGGTTGGTATTATAGTCTTGACGAGGCCACATCAAATAACACCCACCACCACCACAACCTTGCGCGCACACCCCATCCCCTATTAAGTACGGGCGGGCATATGTTGGATTCTATTTTATAGGGGGTAGGGGCCGAAAATGTTACTCTGTACATTTTTATCACCAAAGTACCTAATTAGCAGTCTAGTTTTGCCTGAAAAATTGAAATTGAAACTAGTAATTGGGAGGGGGGGGGCTATGACTAGCTTGACTGGGCTACTCTTTTATCTTAGTTCACTGCCATTGCACCTTAATATTGACCGACTGCCATTGCTTCTTAATATTGACCAACTGACTGATATATTCGACTGATAAATATGACTGATATTTTCAACTGTTTTTTTCCACTGGATGATTCAACAGGTTTCATTGTATTGACGCGACCACAAGAAAACATCTCCCCCACACACACACCCACCATTCACAAATGAGCTGGGCCCAAAAACATAAGTATCTACTAAAGTATCGCCTAAATACCTATTTCTGGCCAACAAACAAACTTTTTGGAAAGGGAGGGGCTTGAGCAACACCACACCCCACCTCCACCTTCAGTCGCTTAATATTTAGCGACTGGTAATATCCTACTGTTTTTTTTCAAATTGATTATTTCGATTTATTTGTATGACTGGTTTTATCATTTGGTCAAGACCGCAAGAAACTGTATTATCCAATACTCAAGCAAATATCTTATCAAATACCCATCCAACAATGTAACTACGGGCATGTGTAGGGACACTATTCTTTGGGAGGCCGAAGCCAAAATGTTACTCTGTACCAAAATTGTCACACACCCCTGGTCAGTATTTAAAATTATGATATGTTTTCCCCCCTCCTCTCCTCCTAACCTATTATTAAGGAAAAGCATGTATTAAAATCTCAAGTCTCTGCATCTAC